ATGATTTTGGGAGTATCTTAACTACAACCTTAATATATTAAATAAAAAGTAATAACTTTTTAACTTGTATTTAATGTTTACAATGCAAATCTAATTGGATCCACATTATTTGGTAAACAGAGTAATTCTTTTATATAATATTTACTAAAATATCTACTAAAAGAAAGAAAATATTACTTTACAAACTGTACTGTAAACAAATCATATGAATATTTTCATATTAGTCAATAATATTACTGAAACTAATTTAAAAACTGAATAAATCTAAATTTACACACATTTACACAAGTAAATAAACAGAATAAATGATGGGCTAAAAATCTGCAGAATTCTGCGCGCACAGATTCCGTGCGGCCTACTCATGGGACAACATGGGGCATAAAAACTGAAAAAAACAAAACAAACAAACAACCAAAACAGCAATTTAGTGGACTACAGAACTGTATGTGCACGGGCACTTGATGTTTCTTTACAGATGATATCACCATCTACTGGCCTGGCATGCAGAATAACAGCATTTATGATAGTTTTAACAGCAGATGGTGCTGTATGCTTACAAGCAGCCATACTCTGCTTGCATATAATTCCTTACAAATGCCACTTAATCTTAAAATAATCATTAATAAACTTAGGAAATGTTTAAGCGGATTACACGTGTGTTGGTTGCGTTTACATTAATCTCGTGAAATAAAAGCCAATTTACATTGCTCACTGAATGCACAAGCGCTCTTCCTCATGGGTGATGAAAAAAAAGTCCATATTGCGCCATCTGCTGTTTAAAAACTAGCCTAGAGCGCCGTCTGCTGTCAAAAACTAGCCTAGAGCGCCATCTGCTGTCTAAAAACTAGACTAGAGCGACATCTGCTCTTTAAGAACTAGCCTAGAGCGCCACCTGCTGTTTAAAAACTAGCCTAGAGCACCGTCTGCTGTTAAAAACTAGCCTAAAGCGCCATCCGCTGTTAAAAACTAGCCTAGAGCGACATCTGCTCTTTAAGAACTAGCCTTGAGCGCCATCTGCTGTTTAAAAACTAACCTAGAGCACCGTCTGCTATTAAAAACTAGCCTAGAGCGCCATCTGCTGTTAAAAACTAGCCTAGAGCGCCATCCGCTGTTAAAAACTAGCCTAGAGCGACATCTACTGTTTAAAAACTAGCCTAGAGCACCATCTGCTGTTTAAAAACTAGCCTAGAGCACCGTTTGCTGTTTAAAAACTAGCCTAGAGTGCCATCTGCTGTTAAAAACTAGCCTAGAGCGCTGTTCGATGTTTAAAAACTAGCCTAGAGTGACGTCTGCTGTTAAAAGCTAGCCTTGAGCGACGTCCGAGGTTAAAAGCTAGCCTTTGAGCACCATCTGCTGTTAAAAACTAGCCTAGAGCAATGTCTGCTGTTAAAGGCTAGCCTTTGAGTGCCATCTGCTGTTCAAAACTAGCATAGAGTGACGTCCACTGTTAAAGGCTGGCCTTTAAGCGCCATCTGCTTTTCAAAACTAGCCTAGAGCGACGTCCGCTGTTAAAAGCTAGCCTTTGAGTGCCATCTGCTGTTAAAAACTAGCCTAGAGTGACATATGCTGTTTAAAGCTAGTCTTTGAGCGCCATCTGCTGTTCAAAAATAGCCTAGAGCAACGTCCACTGTTTAAAGCTTGTCTTTGAGCGTAATTTGCTGTTCAAAACTAGCCTAGAGCAGTGTCTGCTGTTAAAAGTTAGCCTTTGAGCGCCATCTGCTGTTAAAAAGTAGCCTAGAGCAACGTCTGCTGTTAAAAACTAGCTTTTGAGCGCCATCTGCCGTTAAAAAACTAGCCCAGAGCGACATCCAATGTTAAGGGCTAGCCTTTGAGCACCATCTGATGTTCAAAACTAGCCTACAGCAACGTCCGTTGTGAAAAACTAGCCTAGAGCGACGTCTGCTTTTAAAAACTAGCCAATAGCACCATCCGTTGTTAAAAACCAGCTAAGAGCAATGTCGGCTGTTAACAGCTAGTCTTTGAACACCACCTGCTGTTATAAACTAGCCTAGAGCGACACCTGCTGTTAAAAGCTAGCCTAGAGCACTGTCTATTGTTGAAACCTAGCCTAGAACCCCATTTTCTGTTAGAAACTAGTCTAGAGCGACGACTGCTGTTAAAAGCTACATTTTAAGTGTCATCTGCTGCTAAAAGCTAGCTTAGAGCGACATCTGTGTTAAAAGTTAGCCTAGAGCAAAAACCCCTGTTAAAAGCTAGCCTTTGAGCACAATCTTCTGTTGAAAACTAGCCTAGAGTGACGTCTGCTGTTAAAAGCTAGTCTATGAGCGCCATCTGTTGTTAAAAACTAGCTTATAGCGACATCAGGTGTTAAAATCTAGCCTTTGAGTGCTGTTCGCTCTTAAAAATCAGCCTAGAGTGCCATCTGCTGTTAGAAACTAGCCTAGAGCGACGTATGCTGTTAAAAACTAGCTTTTGAGCGCCATCTGCTGTTAAAAACTAGTTTAGAGCTACGTCCACGGTTTAAAGCTAGTCTTTGAGCGCCATCTGCTGTTAAACATTAGCCTAGGGCGCCATCTGCTGTTAAAAAACAGCCTAGAGCGCCGTCTGCTGTTAAAAACCAGCCTAGAGCGCCGTCTGCTGTTAAAAACCAGCCTAGAGCGCCGGCTGCTGTTAAAAACCAGCCTAGAGCGCCGTCTGCTGTTAAAAACTAGCCCAGAGCACCATGTTTGGTTTAAAACTAAATAAGAATTGATTGAAGAGAGAATAGCGATGCATTTAAAAAAAATCTCTGAATTGATGCAGAGTCTTTTTTTCTTGAACAGTTTTTCGCCACAGCTGTATGTCCAGGGGTGGGTAGGGGGTAAATTGAAATTTGTAAATCATCCCAATACTGGTCCCATGCTAACATTAATTTATTTCTGAAAGTAATCTGACTTTTTTGGCCTTTTTATTTTTGTTTTCAGTCATCTTATCTTTTTCATTCTAGGAACTGTGTAAGGTTTAAACTGTCATTGGTTTTAATGGAATAAATGTATCGTTACAAGCTTAAAATCCCTGTGAACGACTCACCGCTTGATCCACGTAAAGGAAACTGCCCGAAGCAATATGAATTATTTCTCTAATGTTCTTCTTTCTGTTCAGTTCGTCTACTGAGAAATGCATTGTTGCATGTGTGCGTATTACTACTACTTTGCCATTATTACTGAATGTCATTTGCTAAATAGATGGTTTTGTCATTGCACAAGCGGCTTCATACAGTGTCCTTCCTCTCCTCAAACACAAATGTCCATAGATCGATTATATGAAATATCGATATGTATTATACCTGCAGTGCTTCAGTGTGACCCAGCCATAACAATTGTAAAGATTTCGAAGGCCTTATTTTTATACCTGCTGGACTATTCTGACTCTCCAGATGTCGCATTGGAGGTGTTAATAGGCATTTATCTCGTTCTCTCGTGTCCTTTATACAGTTTGTGTCCTCTTGGCCCATGTGTTCTCAATGATATAGATGTGTATTTTCAGGTTTGATGATATTTTGCATTTCGGCTGTTACAGAAATACATTTTTTTTTCTAACGTGCTCTGCTTGTGTTCTTGATTTACAGTCAAGTGTCTGTTCAGAATTTAGTGTTTATTCCTGCTGTCTGTCCTATCTATCTATCTATCTATCTATCTATCTATCTATCTATCTATCTATCTATCTATCTATCTATCTATCTATCTATCTATCTATCTATCTATCTATCTATCTATCTATCTATCTATCTATCTATCTATCTATCTATCTATCTATCTATCTATCTATCTATCTATTTATCCGTCTATCAATCTATCTATCTATCCATCCATCCATCCATCCATCCATCTATAGATTTATGCCTCTATCTATCTATCTATCTATCTATCTATCTATCTATCTATCTATCTATCTATCTATCTATCTATCTATCTATCTATCTATCTATCTATCTATCTATCTATCTGTCTGTCTGTCTACCCATCCATCCATCCGTCTATCTAATGAATGATTTTTTTCCCGCGCTATTCTCGACGGTTTCCTAGCAACGTGTCTACCCGGCACCTGAGGTCAGTTTACTTTGCATTGACCGCTTATTTTGCATCACACATTTTACATTATTATTCTACATATACTGTAAATATAGATCAGTTTTTGGGTAAGATATCCGACTAATAAAACTATTAATAGTAGTATTAGTGACATTTTATTATATTAAGACTATGCGTAGCCTATGATTAGTAATACGATCTCATTTTGTTAAATGTAAACAGCTAAGTTAGTGTGGAAAGCTTTTTTTAATTCGCTTTATTAGACTTTTTCTTTATTAATAGTATACCACACATTAAATGATTGTAATTATTAAACAAGTTAAAATGTGATTATTAAAAAAAAAAATATTGAATAGGCTATGCAAAGTTTAACAATTTATTGAGCTGGCTTATTGAACTTTTCATCCTATTCTTTAGTTCAATAATTGTCAGAATTTTATTTTAGAGCTAGTTGTAAACTTTTAAACTGTTTAAAACTTGTTTGCATGATAGCCAAAGTGATTTACTGCATTATTATTAGCCGCATAGATCAACTTAAGCCTGAATGTCATGTTTGGCGATCATTTATCCATCGACTCTTCTGGAAACTCGAACACTGGATCTTTTAGATAAGACTTCTTGTGAGTGAGGTAAGTTAGTTTTATATTCGCACATTTATTTAGTGACACGCTCCCTATTGTTTGTATGCTGTGGTACTTTTAATATTCAATCTGAAATCACATGTAAGTTACTTTAAAATAACATTAGCACTATTTAATTAACTGCTAACAATGTACTTTGATAGTCTTTGGCTGCTAATGTGGTTTCCCTATTAGCAAATAATACTTTTATGAGACTGTATTATCAAGGAGAAAGTCTTAATGAGCAAATATAAAACCAAACTTCTTGTGTACAAGTTAAGTAAGTTAAGTATACTCACTAGGTCACGGCACCCTGATGGATTTCAAGTGTTTGCTCAATAGTGCACGTGTGCTGGAGAGAGTCACATTCATGCGCGTGGACGCGTCACGCAACATCCAGGAGCACCTCAAGAGAGCCAAAGTCGAAGATCTTCCGGGAATTTATCGGTGAGAACAACAACAAGCTTCTTTTAGGATCTCAAACATAAGATGAAGCGACTTGTGTGTGTTTAAGACGCGTAAACGCGTCGCGTTTCCTCCCCGAAGGCTGTTGTTTTGCAGAAAATGGCGTCATGGTTTTGTTGTTCGGGCTGAGGATCGCGAAGACGCGGCTCGGTTATGATCCCGCTCACCTTTATTAAATGTTTACATAGTTTTCGGATGGAAAAGGTTGTTGTTAACTGTATTGGTTGTGTTTTGTGCTCGTTTTGATCGCGTGTGAGTGAGGAGAGCGCGCGCAATGGTGCGAGGCTCTCCAGCGGTTACGCGCAATGACGCACGCAGCTGCAAGTGAGGGGATTTTTGGTTTCAAAATACAAATACGTGATGTTTATAGGTTTTAAAGTTCATTATTTGGTGTTTACGAAAGTCTTTTAATATTATTTATACGCGTCAGGTGATATTTATTGTTTTAAAACGCACCGCGAGTGGTTCTTCCTCATTGAGTGTCGTTTGTTAGCGTAAACTGTGTTGCTTTCAAACACGTTTCTGGATGAGGCGTGAGCGAAAACACAATGTTTATGCTAAAGTGGAAGTTTGTGTTTTGTGACAACGTGTTATTCAATCAAAACTCAGTGTGTGAAGTTGAAAAACACACTTAAGGAGAAGTTTAGAAAGTTTTTAGACGTGTGTTTAATGCGAAACTAGCGTGATTGAGCCACAGTTTCTCGATGTTGTTTCTAGTGTTGATTAAACCCAATGTTAGACTGACAACTGTAAATGAAAATAACATTAAACTCATCAGCAGTTTATTTGTTTTAAATGCCAGTATAGTTGTTTAAACTTTAGTCAGCTGTTTTTACTACCTACCTATTTTGTTTAACAATGCTTTCTAAATGTATAGTAGGCTACATGTTATGCAGAAGGAATATAAATTAGTACAGAAATTAAGCAATTCATTATTTTTTGAAAACTGTATGTGCACTTTGTTGAAATTTATCAAATTACTTAATTAAAATGAGCTGAAACAACACAATTTTTTATATTTTTTTGGCCCAACTTATTTGTTTTATGTTAAAAACACTTAAATTTGTACAGATTAACTTAATTCCTTAATTTTTTTTTATTGGTGCCTAAATGGTTGTTGTTAGATCGGATATGGTTGCGGCCCGAAGTTACAGAGAATATTTTATATAATTTATTAAATTACCCATTTATTGTATTTTATTAACGTCTACCCCCCACTACAACCCTAAACCCAATCATCACAGTACTGTAAAATATGAATTATTGCTATACAGTTTCATAAATTGCTGCTATATTGATGCACTTCCGGCCAGCCGCATATCTGATCTAGACTTTACCAACATAAATTGTTTCTGTGTAACACAGTACACTGTAAACAGATGCTGGAAGTAAAATCAGAAGATTTGGGGAAAAAATTTGAGTCAAAATGATTGAATATGCAGACATAGTTCATGTGATTGTAATAATTATTCTAATTTTTCTGCATAAATTAACTTTTGCAGTTATTAAGCTTTGCTTGATAAGTTAGCTGCCAGTGACTCTAGACGTTATAAAATAACTTATTATGAATGACAACAACATTTTGAGAGGCTTGCAAAGACAAATAGTTGAAAACGGGATTCAAAGTGCTGTTGTGCATCAAAATGTTGCCAAAGTTTTGATTTTTTTTTGTGAATTAAATGTGTATTAAGGGTTTGTAATCACACACACACACACACACACACACACACACACACACACACACACACACACACACACACACACACACACACACACACACACACACACACACACACACAAACAATATTTATGAACTACAGGACTGTATTTGCACAGGTGTATAGCATTTCTGTATAGAGTGACACCGCCATCTACTGGCCTGGCATAATTAATATCACATTTTTAGTCATTAATTTTTTTTTTAATTCATGTAAAATAAATAATTTTGACTTTTTTTTTGTTTGTATACACTTATACATTATATTTCTAAATTATTAAATAAACAAAAGTTGTTAATTTTTGTAACTAAGTGTGAAATACAGCTTTGTAAATCTGTTATATATGCATAGTTAATGCTGTCACATTTTCACATGTCAACTCTTAATCAATTTGATATGTTATGTTGATGTGACAATATGCTGAGGTGTTTATCACCCACAATTATGTCAAATACAGCAATTAATAAATATATATATTTATAAAACAAGCAGCACTACTAAGATTCATAACTATATATTTGAATATTTATAAGATGATTAGAATGGGTTTAAATTGATGGTGTAAAATAGGCTTTTGTTTACTTCCCAGTACACTTGTCATGTGTAATTTTTGAAGGGGCAGTTCAGCCTAAACTGAAAATTATGCCATAACTCACCCTTCACTTTCCTGCAAGTTTCCGTCTTCTGTTAAACACAAAAGAAGATACTTTGAAGAATGTTGGAAGTCACTTTCCATTGGCATCCATAGGAACTACGGGAACATTTTTCAAAACATATTATTTTGTGTTAACAGAATAAAAGAAGCTCATGGAGGTTTTGGAACCACTTAAAGGAATGCAAACAACGGGAATATACATTTGTTTGGGTGAACTATCGCTGTAAGTTATTTAGCTGGAAGAATATTGTTTCCAACAGATGTCAGCATAGAGCAGTAGATAGTTAATAAAACACAAAAATCTGTGATCTGTCATCATTTTTTCACCCTCACGTCAGCACAAACTATGAGGCTGTCGATCACAAAGGAAGATATTTAGTACAATGTCCATGCTGTTCATTTTGAGTGGGTAAAAGTGAATTATTTGCTTTCCAAAAACACAACAACAAAACACAATGTACATCTCAAATGTAGTCTATGACTTTTTATATCACTTTGGTAACACTTTACAATAAGGTTCATTAGTTAATGTATTAACTAACATGAACTAATCATGAACAACACACGTACAGCATTTATTAATTATAATTGAACATTTACTAATGCATTATTAACATCCAAGTCCATTCTTGTTGACATTTGTTAATGCACCATGAGTTAACATGATCTAACAATGAACAACGGTATTGTCATTAACTAACGTTAACTAACATAAACTAATACAGTAGTAAATGTATTGTTGATTGTTTGTTCATGTTAGTAAATGCATTAATTAACATTAACTAATAAACCTTATTGTAAAGTGTGACCATCATTTTTTCATAACATTTTATATTTAATATTTTTTTATTTTAATATAATCTTAGATTTTTATGCATTTATATGCATGACAACTTTGTCTGAAGAACAGAAATCAAGTAATTTTAATAAAAATCATGATAATATTTGGTCCTTTAATTTTTCACATGTATAAGGAAACATTATTCTGAGTTTTTTAATTAATTTATTTTCATTTTTTAAATTTTTCGTTTATGTCCTAAAGAAAAAAATTATATTAAAAATAGAAAATTATTTCTCCTTTTTTATTTATGATTAAATTATATTATTTTATTATTATTTCTTGCATTTAATTAGTTTAATTTGGTCAGTCTAGCCAAGCATTTGGAAAGCAGCCAGCCAGCACTCTTCTTTATTCAATAAAATGTCAATGGCTGCTTCATCTAACACCCATTGTCTCTGTGAGTGGTGTTTGATGGCTCTTTTTACATGCAGGCTTTAGTAAGTATTGAGTCAGGGCCCCGTTTGTTGTTTCGTTTTTCATCTGTGATCGGATTGGATGTAGTAAAGTAGGCATTTCATTCAGAAAGATCAGTGGAAAGTGTTTGGGAAGAGTTATTACAACCTAACAGACTCTTCCTGCTTAACGTTTCTGTTTGTTGTCAAAACTGACAGCTGAAGGGGCGTGGTTAAGTATGCTAGCCCTGCCCAATACCTCAGGCTGAGGTAATCTGAGATTTGAACTGAAAACAAACAGGTTTCAATGTTAGATTACAATCTCATACATTTTTATTTTTCCTAATGACGTGCACAGATGAATTGACCACCACAAAACTAGCAATGTGAGCTGACAAAATCAATATGGTTAGTTTTGATATTCATGTGTACTTTAAGAGTGTTTGTCAGCACATTTCTGCTGTACATTTCGGCTTTTGGAGCCATTTATTGATCTACCTTTCTCTCAATCTCTGCAGAGACTCGTTTAATGTGCTTTTAGGATGGAGGAAGCTCCGTCCAATGAAAAATCTTGCCAGACGGATGTCTCTCCTGGATCTGATCATCCCATCAAGACACCAGGTGAACTCTCTGACTGTTTATTAAATGTTCTATGAATAATACATGACGCTCATTTCACCTGGACTAGTTTGGACTGAACAAAAGTAAATGCATTTCAATAGCCACCCATTCGCTCTGATCCTTTCACTGTTAGAGGATTAGTGCAAATTCCTCATGGCTTGCTATTGTCGTGCACTCAGTTGGGGTCACTGAAGTCTGTGACCCTTACAGAGAAAAGATCACACTCCTCCCCCTCAGCCTGTGGCTATAATGAAAGAAAATGCATACATAACTGAGTGTGAAATGGAAACTAACAGTGAATCTGTGAGGTTTATTAATGTAGTATTATGCAGTTCAGTGTTTTGGAGCATGGATTGGGATGATCTTCAGCATTTATATAGTAGGATGTAATTAGACCACACCCATTTTGATGACGACGACTAATGCATGGGGGAGGCGCTTGAGTTTAAATGATTTTTCCTATGTACTGTATTGTTTTCCAGTCAGGATGTTTAGAAGGATATTGAGGACATCATGGAAGTAAAACTAATCTAAATGATTTATTTTAAATTATTTATTTATACGTTTAGTAAGTTATATTTAAGTTATAATTTAATATAAAATAAATGAATTTGAAATGAAAAAAATTTACTTGTTCCTCCTTTTATATGTTTTTGCATATTTTCCATTTGCATATTTTTCACAGTTTAAAAATATAAATATTCAACCCTAACAAACAGCACAGGTCACTGTTGTATTATATTATTTTCCAGTTTAAGTAACATTTAGTAATATAATAAGTAATTTTGGTGCTTAATCTAGATGTATTTATTATTATTATTATTATTATTATTATTATTATTATTATTATATTATTATTATTATTATTTTTGTGCTTAATCTAAATGTATTTATGACTATTATTATTTATTTTTAGCCAGTCCAATATATTTTGAAATAAAAATATTGTCATAATCCAGTATATAATATATAACACAACATTTTATTATTATTATTATTATTATTATTATAGTTTTATTATTTTTGTGCTTAATTCAAATGTATTTGTTAAATCTTTTTGTTTTTTAAGGTAGCTATTTTAATGCATTTTATAATGATGATAATAGTAATAATAATAATGATAGTAATAGTAGTAATAATAATAATAATAATAATAATAATAATACACATAACACATTATTTTTTATTATTATTATGAATTTGTTTTTAAGGTAGCCATTCCAATATATTTTATAATAATAATATTAGAATATATAGCACATTATTATTATTATTTTATTGTTATTATTATTATTAATTAATTTTTAAGGTAGCCATTCCAATACAATCTGTAATGATGATGATAATAATAATAATAATAATTACAATAATAAAAATACCAATAATACTACTACTACTACTACTACTAATAATTATTATTATTATTATATTATCTTTAAGGTAGCCATTCCTTTAGATTTTAAAATAACTATAATATTGTTATAGTCTAATATATAAATCATAACACCAAAAATATAATAATAATAATAATAATAATAATAATAATAATTATTAGTTTTTAAGGTAGCCATTCCTTTAGATTTTAAAATAATAATAATATAGTTATAATCTAATATATAATATATAACACAGAAATATTATTATTATTATTATTATTATTGTTATTGTTATTATTAATACTATTATTATTAATAATAATACTATTATTATAGTTTTGTGCTTAATCTAAATGCATTTATTACTTTTATTATTTATTAGTTTTTAGGTAGCCATTAATAATAATAATAATAATAATAATAATAATAGAATACATGTACATATTATTATTATTATTATTATTATTATTATTATTATTATTATTATTAATTTGTTCTACAAATTTAAAGTTTTAAGTATTATTCCTACGTTTTTCTTTCTGTCTTTTTAAAAACTTTGGTTACTAAAAAAAAATAATAATAACAACACTGTCATGCCCATATACCATCACTCAGAGACAGTCATTAATTCTCTAAAACAAAGTTTTTTTTCACTCATCTGACACTTGTCACGTGCTCAATATTCAAACCCTGGTCTCTAATGTACAGATGAGACCCGCTCTAGCAGAAACACACCAATCCTTCACTCCCACAGAAACATCCATCATCTGCGTTCAACTTCACAGCACGGGATTGATTGTGAGTGTGTGTGAGAGTGTGTGTGTGTATAAACGTCCACCTCCTCACCTCGCTGCCAGACTTCAGGCCGTTTCTGGAGGAAATTCCCTCACACAGTCATAAAACACCTTCAATATACGGCGAGTCTTGCTTTAAACACACCGCTGGTCCGGTCATAAATTCTCCAGCATCTCCATCATCAATCTCCAGCTGATTTGGTCGCTTTATCCTCAGCTGTGTTCCTGCTCCGTATCTTCACACTCCATTGATTTTTCACCTCCTCACGTAGTGAAGAGTTATCGTCTTGCTGCGCATATATCAGCTCAAGTGATGAAAATGCTTCTTTAAAGGATCCCTATTATGCAAAAATCACTTTTATAAGGGTTTTAAACACAGATGTGTGGCAGCAGTGTGTGAATATAACCAGCTTCTAATTATAAATATGTATTAATTTTATTTTTTATAGTCACACTTAAAAAAAACAGAAACTCTAGCATGACATTCTCCATTTGTACGTGTCATCAGAGGGGGAAAGCCCCGCCCACTAGTGACCATCTCTCCCACTAGGCTGACACAGAGGCATTTATAGCTCCGCCCTCTTTTGAAGAGCACAAACTCATTTGAATTTAAAGCGACAGTCACCAAAACTCCACAATTAGGATCAAAACCTCAAAGAGACTGTTTTAAAGAATAAAAAAAATAGCGACCTTAAAGTATGATTATATTAAAACTAATTCCTTATTATAACTTATGAAGTTATCAATAGTTTGTGAAATGTGTTGCAATTATTCATTAATTTTCCTTTCCGGATTAGTCCCTTTATTCATCAGTGGTTGCCACAATGTACTGCCAACTTATTCAGCATATGTTTTACAAAGCGGATGCCCTTCCAGCTACAACCCAGTAATGGGAAACACCCATACACTCTTCCATTCACACTCGGCCAATTTAGTTTATTCAATTCCCCTGTAGCGCATGTGTTTGGACTGTGGGGGAAACTAAAGCACCCAGAGGAAACCCACGCCAACAAACTCCACACGGAAATGTCAACTGGCCCAGCCAAGACTCAAACCAGTGACCTTCTTGCTGTAAGGCGGCCACCGTGCCGCCCTTGTTGTAATTAATAATAATTAGTTAATTACCAATAGTTAATATATAATTTCAAATAATAAATATAATGAATAATAATTTACAACAACACAGCTGTCACCTCACAGCAAGAAGGCCGCTGGTTCGCAGGCCGCTACACATTTCTGTGTAGAGTTTGCATGTTCTCCCCGTTTTGATGTGGGTTTGCCTTACAGTTTGCCTCACAGTCCAAACACATGCGCTATAGGGGTATTGAATAAGCTAAATTTGTCATAGTGTTTGAGTGTGTGGGTGTTTCCCTGTGCTAGGTTGCGGCTGAAAGGGTATTCGCTGCGTAATAAAATATGCTGGATAAGTTGGCGGTTTATTCCACTGTGGTAACCCCTGATAACTAAGGGACTGAGCCGAAAAGAGAACGAATGAATGAATAATAAACGAACAGTGAATAAATGAAGAATTAAACACTTTACTAAAATTATAAGTAAAAAACATGGATGATACAGAATTGATAAACTGCAGAAAAAAATATTTTAAATATTTTATTTTTGAAGTTTTCTTTACATTAGACTGGAAAAAAAAACAATTTAGGAATAGCCGAAATGGTATCTTTACAGGTGCATGAAAAAGCAGTGTTTTTGCCTGTAATATCATGCCTCAAGCATACGAACAATATTAACACTAGCGATATTTCCAACTCCACTAATAAACCCCTTTCCTCTAATAGCCTCCGCGATGCAGAGCTCCATTAATCAAAGCTGTGAAATATTGGCATCCGTAACCCAAACAGAAGAGATATCATCCGATTTATCCAGTGGAAAAATGGAGACGCGTATTAAATCAAAGCTTTTGTTTCAGAGCCAGACGTTTTCGCAAATACTCATCGAGACAGTGTCAGGCGGCGGCCATCAATAATGCAAACTTTAATAAAGTCTCATTTACAAAAGCACGAGCTGAAGCGCTGAATGCATATGAGTCATATCAGCCAGATCTGCCATCCAAAACACACTGGCATGAACTCAGCCGACGAGACTTCAGATCATCATTTCTGCATAATGAGTTTGTCTGCGCTGGTTTATTCAGCCTGACACGCTGACATAAGTGTTAATAACGGAGATAAGCAGCATTATAACTGAATATTATTAACTGCGTGCGCTTTCTGTGATGCAATGGAAAGAGCTTTAGTGTGAGCGTTTACTAATGGGATTGTTTTTTTGTGGTGTGGATATTGGATAAATTCAACAAACAAACCAGCCAATCCAACAATATGTATATATAAATATAAATAAATAAATAAATAAATAAATGGATAACAAAAGGATGGATTGATGGATGTATGGTAGGATGCATGGATGGATGGTTGGATGGAAAATAAAATTATGGATGGAAAACAGATGGATGGATGGAAAACAAGGATGTACGGATGAATGGGAAATAAAAGGATGGATGGATGGATGGATGAATAGATTAATAGATGGATGAGATGCAAAAGAATAGATGGATGGATGGAATGATGGATCGATCAATGGTAAACAAAAGGATAGATTGATGGATGGATGGGTGGACGGATGGATGGATGGGTGGATGTATTGATCGATCGATGCATGGATGTTGCTCTAGGCGGTGCTCTAGGCTAGTTTTTAACAGCAGACGGTGTTCTAGGTGGTGCTCTATGCTAGTTTTTAGCACCGGATGTTGCTCTAGGCTAGTTTTAACACTGGATGTTGCTCTAGGCGGTGCTCTAGGCTAGTTTTTTACAGCAGACGGTGTTCTAGGTGGTGCTCTAGGCTAGTTTTTAACACCGGATGTTGCTCTAGGCTAGTTTTAACACTGGATGTTGCTCTAGGCGGTGCTCTAGGCTAGTTTTCAAAAGCAGACGATGCTCTAGGCAGTGCTCTTGGCTAAATTTTAAAACCGGATGTTGCTCTAGGCTAGTTATTAACAGCAGGTGGTGCTTTTGGCAAACTTTTAACAGAAGGTGGCACTCTAGGTTGGTTTTTAAAATTAGATGGTGCGCTAGGAGGTGCTCTATGCAAGTTTTTTTAACAGCAGGTGGGACTCCAAGTTAGTTTTTAACAGCAGGTGACGCTCTAGGCTAGTTTTTAACAGCAGACGATGCTCTATGTGGTGCTCTATGCACGTTTTTATCAGAGGATGTCGCTCTAGCCTAGTTTTTAACAGCAGGTGACGCTCTAGGCTAGTTTTTACAGCAGATGCTGCTCTAGGCTAGTTTTTAACAGCATACGCTGCTTTAAGCTAGTTTTTAACAGCAGGTGACGCTCTAGGCTAGTTTTTACAGCAGATGCTGCTCTAGGCTAGTTTTTAACAGCATATGCCGCTTTAGGCTAGTTTTTAACAGCAGGTGGTGCTCTTGTTATGTTTTTAACAGCAGGTGGCGTTCTAGGTTAGTTTTTAACAGCAGAGGGTGCTCTAGACTAGTTTTTGACAACAGATGGTGCTCTATGTTTGTTTTTAACGGCGGATGTCACTCTAGGCTAGTTTGTAGCAGCAGGTGGCTTTTAACAGTACGCTTAATTGTTCACAAGGAAGAGTGTGGCTTTTATGTCACAAGATTAATGTAAACACAGCTCATGCATCTTATGTAGAATGTATATATTGCATATTTTAAACAGTGCATTGATGTAACTGAGAAAAGCTCTATTTCTCTCGCAGTTTACTCAACAGAACCAGGAGATCCTCCCTTACTCCAAACCCCAATGCTCACCTCTAAATCTGGCATCCAGCAGATCATTGAGTGTTTCCGCACAGGTACACTGTCTCTACATGATATGTTTAAATAATATGTAAAGTATGTGAAAATTCAAGCCCCAGGACACAATCTCCTCAAGCCTCATCACTGCCCTCTTGTGCTCATTTGCAGGTACTGCACAGCTGAAGCACATTCTCCTGAAAGAGGTGGACACCATCTTTGAATGTAAACTCTGCCGCAGTCTCTTCCGTGGCCTTCCTAATCTGATCAAACACAGAGAAATGTACTGTTTCACTCGAATGCCTGAACATGATGGTTAGTATAATATAACTTTTCTGCTTTTGATCCTGTTCCAAAGAGATCACTGTTGAAATCACCCTGATGTACTTTCAGTGCCATATGGCTGTAAAATCTAATTATGTTTGGTAGGATTTGTGTTTATTTTATTTTTGGCATAGAAAAACTTTTAAAACCAACTTAATACTTACGGCTTGCACTTTTATAGCATTTAATTTACCCCATAGAACTTTATAAGGGATAATGTACATCCAGCCGGATGTTCTCACAGAATAAAGCCAGACTCCCAATACAAACCAGTTGGCAACACCCAAAATGTGTGTAAATGAAGACAGAAATTCCAGATTTTTAGTGAACGGTCTCTTTAATATAACATTTAATGCAACCGTAATTTGAGTCCTTTTAACTAAGATCCACTTCTGCTTGTAGTTCTTTCTGTTGATGGCAAGAAGAGCGTGAAAGAACTTCTTGAAGCCATCTACCCTTACTCCAATAAAGAGGAATGTGTATTAACACTGGAGCCCATTGCCGGCAACCAGAATGCTGTGTATCAATACCTGTCCAAAGACCACAGCCTGGCATCTTCAAGCCCTAATCATAGCACAAACAGCTGGGGACACAACATCTCAGACAACCAAGAGCTGTATACAATGGAGATCCCCTTGGGAGAGGAAGAAAACGGTTATATACACGATGAAAGAGAGAACGTTGACATAATAGAGAGAGTAGATGCAGACGAAAGCAAGGTGCATCAGGATAGTGAAGAACCCGAGGAGACAACAGAAGAAGCAGGTGATCTGGCTTACAAATGCATCCTCTGCAACAGGACTTACAGAGTTCGAGGCCACCTTAAAAGACACATGCAGACTGTTCATAAGGTTGTGTCCTCTAGTTTGACAAGCAAATCTAAGAAGATGACCAATGGCAAACTTGCAGACAATCCCAATGCAAGCCCAAGCTCTTCATCTGACTCCCAGAGCTCGAAGAATCCCAAGGAGAACAAGGATCCAAAATTCACTATAGGTTTTGACTTCAAGACGTGCTTCTGCAAGCTCTGCAGACGGACATTCAGCTCCGAGCAGAACCTGGAGAAGCACATTGAGCTGCACACAGATAACGGTACTGACTTCTTCGTCAAGTTTTACTGCTGTCCGCTCTGCCACTATAAAACACGCCGCAAGAGAGATGTGCTGCGCCATCTCTCAGACTTCCACAAGAAGAAATCCTTGTACTTGAGCAAGATCTCCCAGTCGCTGGAGGACTATTCAATCAAGAAGCCAGCGGATGTTGTGTTGAGCAAGGATCTGTCCAAAGATCGAGATCAACAGGAGTTAAAAGCTAACTCCAAGCATGCTTCGCCATACGTGACACGAAAGAACCTGACGAAAACAGCACTGCGCAACAAGACCTTAAAGACTGGTAATAAGGTGCACCACAAAAAGGAAGTGAAAAAAGCGAAGCCTGATAGCCCCAAAGGCAGTGTCACCAAGAAATCAGTGCATGTGTGTGACGTCTGTGGGGAGAGCTTCATGAAGACAAGGTATCTGGGGTTGCACAAGAGAATGCATCTGAAAACCGCATCCAGGAGCGCAGGAGTCAGAACTAGGTCAAAGGCCATGCTTTGGTGAGTACATGTTAGTTAGTTAGCTTCTTTATAAAGCACAATAAAACAACAGGTTTTGACCATTGTGCTGTACAAACCTAAAATCAAACTACCAATGATAGACAACGACAGATAAAACAACATAGAATACATGCAACATAGCACACAACATCAACGATAAACAACAAGACACCAGATTGGATCAATTTTCTCCTGATTTAAAAGCTCTTTCTAGGAGGTGTAGTTTAAGTTTCCCTCTGAACAAAGATTCAATGGAAATTGTGCTAATGGACATAGGTAGCCCATTCCACATTTTAGGACCTACTACAGAGAAAGCTCGATCTCCTTTTATCTTCAATTGACCTTTCGTTAAGCCACACCCAAAAACCGCCACCCACCAATCGTGGCTTAGCAACCGTAGCTACTCGCAGGGGCTCTGTCAAGCTTTCCAGTGAGGGAAACAAGCCAAAGCGTTGTGCATATGGATTGTGCAAATCTGACACCCGGTATCCCTAATGCTTGGACAGGGTGGTGGGATTTTTTTCCTTTTTCAAAACCTAAAACCCAAGAGGAGAAATGCCAGCATGGAACAAGCTCTGTGAGGGGCACTAAAGGAGCGGAGATGAGTTGGTTTTGTTTTCAACATTCACATTCAGTGATAGACGGCAATAACTCGCACACCTCTTACCCTAAACAGATCTAAACTGTTTCCTATAAAAATGCAAAGCTGGTTACGTTTCCCAGCTGTCTTTTTTTTCTCCGCTCGATATTATGAGCACTGCTCCGTTTTAGCCCTCGCCATAGTAGTCACGCTAATAGCAGTCATATTTCTATCTGTTTCAAGCTACGAGTATTTGAAATTACAAATCAACAGAACAAAACCGAGATGTGATCACAATATGAGCACTTGCGATCAATATACTTATTTATATACTAATATTTGCTATTAGGGAAAATCTATTTGTTCACTGATGCTTTTTATCACATAGATTTGCATTTCAATTTTTTTTCTTCCACTTAACTGCGAATTAGAATAGAAACTGAATAAAGAGCACACAAACATACTGACAGTAATAGGTACTGTACATTGTTATGGGTCAATGATGCTAATATTCGGCACATATCCAAAAATACTATTCTGTAGTGGCATATTATGCATTTGTGGCTCCGCCCTCTTTTAAAGAGCACAATCGGATTTGAATTTAAAGTGACAGTCACCAAAACGGCACAATTAGGATCAAAGCCAAAAAAGGTTAGAGTTATGAAGCATTATCTGTGTGCTATTTTGAGCTGAAACTTTGCACTCTAGGTACATCAGAGACTTATTTTACATCTTGTAAAAAGTGGCACAATAGGCCTCATTTAAATAGTACAATAGGCCACCTCATTGTGCACTTGCCTTTTTGGCATGAACTGCACACATTTATCCTTTTGAATTTGCCTTGATCATCTCAAAGTTGATCATGTGGCCTGTTTGGCAAAAATGCATGCCATGCTGCCAAAACATTTCAGAAGGCAGGTCATACAATCACAATGCTTTCTGCAATTGTTTGGCAATTAATAATTATGACTTAACTATGACTTAACTAAAGCATGCAATTCTGCCTTCAATTCTACTAGTACAATACCACCTTCCCTAAGGGTTGTTTTTGATGCAAAATTGAGCTAACAATGCCTTAAAAGATCAAGCTGGTTGGCAAGTTGCTAGTTTTTGTGCTTGTGTTCGTTCTGCCTCCTGAATTTGGCTGGCACAGCAGCCCGGTGTGTGTTGTTGCGGGAGTTGGTTGATTGGCGGATTGCAACCACAGCCTTGTTGCTAATGAATAGGAGGAATCCCAGGGTGGACTTCCTGCACGGAAGAATGAAGCATGGATGCCACAGCAAGGTCCTGGAAATTAGGTCTCACCTCAAGGTTTAAAGAGCCCTCGGGGTCCCCGTCGAGCCGAGAGGGGCACTTCTTTAAGAAGCAATTAAGATAAGTCACCCGTGGCCTTGGAAACAGCGCCGGTTTGGTATTAATCACGCCGCTCCGTCACAGGACCGCGGAGACCAGACAAGCGCTCTGATCTTCAAATAAGGCTGCCTTGGGTTTCCATGGCCATTTTTCAATTGATTTTTTTTTTTCACATTAATGCATCATATTGTCCACAAAATGCATGCAATACTGCCAAAAACATCAGAAGGCAGATAAAGCGATCACAATTCTTTCTGGAATTCCCTGTTTGGCAGAAATGCATGCAATACTTCAGTGAGCACTTATCTTTAAGGCCTAAAAGCATGCAATTCTGCCTTCTGTTTAACTAGTACAGTACTACCTTCTCTAAGGCTCGTTCTTGATGCAAATCAAGCTAACAGATGGATCGATTTCAAGGTTTACCGCAGTTTAGAAAAGTCAAGGTTTAAAACCGCTAAACTTTTCTGTTATACTGTTCCTACAGTATGTAAGGTTTTTTAAATGTGTTTAAACATTTTGTGGTATTAATCACGTCGCTCCGTCACAGGACCACAGAGACCAGACAAAATCTCTGATCTTCAAATAAGGCTGCCTTGGATTTCTTTAAAACTTTAAAAACTAGATGCTGATGACCATTAAATGCATCATAACCATCTTGTGGAAATGGTCAATAGCGAAGTGAGCTTTTGTCAAGTATGGTTTTACTCATACTCAAAGATGGTCCTCTGGTTTTAAACAATCCAAGTGCACATGCACATTTTGAATGAGGCACAAGTGAGCATACACACTAAGCAATGGGCAGCTGTTGCTTCCAGTATTCGGGGAGCAATAAGAGGTTAGCTGCCTTGCTCATTGGCACCTCAGCTGGGTATCAAAGGAAAACAGTATAAACAGTCAAAAAATGAGTGAGGGGGTATCGAAGATGAAGAGAGCACCCTCAAATCCTGCTGGGACTGGGAATCCAACCAGCAGCCCTTGGGTCCAACTCACCAACCATAATGCCTTCTTTTTGCAGTTCCCTGTTTGGCAGAAATGCATGCAATACTTTAGTGAGCACTTATCTTCAAGGCCAAAAAGCATGCAATTCTGCCTTCAGTTTTACTAGTACAGTACTACCTTCCCTAAGGCTCGTTCTTGATGCATATCAAGCTAACAGTTATCGACCAGCATGGGTCGATTTCAAGGTTTACCCCAGTTTAGAAAAAGTCAAGGTTTAAAACCGCTACAGTTTTCTGTTATACTGTTCCTAAAGTAGGTTATTTAATGTGTTTAAACATTTTGTGGTATCAATCACGTCGCTGTAGTCACAAGTTGTCTTGGGTTTCCATGGCCATTTTTGACTTGCTTTTGTCCCTAATATGATTGACTCATAAATGCATGCAATACTGTCCCAAAAAAAAAAAGAAACAGAAGGCAGATCATGCAATCACAATTCTATCTGCAATTCCCTGTTTGTCAGAAATGCATGCAATACTTCAGTGAACAGACCTGCACTTACCTTTAATGCCAAAAAGCATGCAATTCTGCCTGCAGTTTTACTAGTGCAATACCACCGTCCCTAAGGTTCGTTCTTGATGCACTATTGAGCTAACAATTACGCATGGGACGTTTTCAAGGGCTTACCACAGTTTGGAAAAGTCAAGGTTTTAAAACCGCTAAACTTTTCTGTTATACTGTTCATACAGTGTGTACGTGTTTTTAATGCTCTGTCACAGGAGCATGGAGACAGGACAAGCACTCTGATCTTCAAGTAGGATTGCCTTGCGTTTCCTTGTCCATTTTTGGCTTGGTTTTTTCTTCTTCACATTAATGCATCATATTGTCCCCAAAATGCATGCAATACTGCCAAAACATCAGAAGGCAGATCATGATTCGTCATGCAATTCTCTGTTTGGCAGAAATGCATGCAATACTTCAGTGAACAGACCTGCACTTACCTTTAATGCCAAAAAGCATGCAATTCTGCCTGCAGTTTTACTCGTGCAATACCACCGTCCCTAAGGTTCGTTCTTGATGCACTATTGAGCTAACAATTACGCATGGGACGTTTTCAAGGGCTTACCACAGTTTGGAAAAGTCAAGGTTTTAAAACCGCTAAACTTTTCTGTTATACTGTTCATACAGTGTGTACGTGTTTTTAATGCTCTGTCACAGGAGCATGGAGACAGGACAAGCACTCTGATCTTCAAGTAGGATTGCCTTGCGTTTCCTTGTCCATTTTTGGCTTGGTTTTTTCTTCTTCACATTAATGCATCATATTGTCCCCAAAATGCATGCAATACTGCCAAAACATCAGAAGGCAGATCATGATTCGTCATGCAATTCTCTGTTTGGCAGAAATGCATGCAATACTTCAGTGAGCAGATCTGCACTTACCTTTAAGGCTAAAAAGCATGCAATTCTGCCCTCAGTTTTACTAGTATAATACTACCTTCCCTAAGACTTGTTCTTGACGCAAAGTTGAGCTAATGAATACGCATGGGACGATTTCAGGGTGTACTGCAGTTTGAAAAAGTCAAGGTTTTAAAACTGCTAAATTATACCATTATACCTGCTCCATTATATTTGTAAAAATAGTTTTGCTCTGTCAAAGGACCGCAGAGATAAGAAGAGCGATCTTATCTTTAAATACGGTTGCCTTTAAGTTTCCATGTCCATTTTTGACTTGTTTTTTTTTTCTTCACATTAATGCCTCATATTGTCCCTGCGGTAGAAGTCCATATGTCAGGCTGACAGTTAGCATTTGACTTGTTCCTCTGGGCCTTAGTCCTTGTGTTCATCCCTGGGTTGCTGTAAGTTACACGAAAACACATGAAGGCTGGATTACTGCCTGCTCCCTCTTGACGTGTGGCAGAGAGTTACTTAAGAGTAAACACTGGAGTCTGTTCAAGACATACAGCTTCCGTGCACAGCATAGATTATATATAAAAACAGCTATGGACACAAACAATTAAGAGATTTCTTGAAACTTAAACTAAACTGATGACATTTCTTCCAGATGTAAAGTTGAAATGTTAATTTGTCTTGTATTAATAATTATGGCTAATAATTATGACATTGACTGTACCTTTATGGGCAAAAAACATGCAATTCTGCCTTCAATTTGACAGCTTTTTTGACTTAAAATGACAGAAACTTAAATTAATTTATTGCCAAATATTAGTAGTTAGAAATCTGTATTTGTTGGAATAATCTAGATTTTCAATCACCACAGGTGAAAACATTAGTTATTCTGACCGATTTTCTTCATCTGGGGAAGAAAAGAGATTTAAATGCAATATTTTATTGTTAATTTTGGAAGAAATGTTAGCAGACCTTATAAAATAAACCGAATATATACCTAATATAATACCTTAACATAATAAATGAAACGGCTAATTTTAAAGCGGTCTCTTAATTTTTTCGATAGCTGTGTATATCTTATATATATAACATATACACAGCTATCGAAAAAATTAATATATATATACACACACACATACACACACACAGTTTTGGGTCTTGACCGACTTTTAAATGTTAACTGCTGTATATATATAGAATTTACGTCATTTGTTTCCTATGCGTGATGTCATAGTAGAATACTATGGCGAATAAGGCGAGGGCGACTAAATAAAACACTCCTACTACTTAAAAGCTAGATAATTATGCACATCTTAACTGCTTGTGAGTTTGCTGGAAAGTCTTTAAGTGACACTGAAGAAGGCTCAGCACATGAGCCGCTATTTCAGTACTAAGGAGAGATGTAAAGTCTCATCTCTGCCTTTCTTTCTCACACACTTTGGACATTTGACCTGCTGCGCTGGCCTATTTGTGAGGTAACTTTTTTCCTCCTCTCGGCTGTTAAAGCTATACTTGGTGATCCAGACATGAGCGTGCCTGAGGTGTGAGTTTTCTCCACTGTGTCTATCATGGATTACCTGTGATACCGGCGTATTATGCGCATACAGACTGTAACCGATTGACTCATCGGTGAACAGCGATTTCATTTCTAAAGCCAAACGCAGCCCTTTCTGTTGAGCGGGTGGAGACAGCGCTTCAAAAGGAAGTGGAATAATATTACCATTAGTTTATTTGCTATAAATGCTCATGTTGTCTTCTGTGCATGTATTGGAGTTTTGTTTGATGCATTCAAAAAGAGAGTTTTCTTTCAGCAGGTAAATTTAAGTGTATAGTTCTTGTATCTTACTGCCTGTATTAAAGGACAATATTGTATTACAAATAATATATAAATATTAATACATTTATAGATTTTAATTTTTAGATTTAAAAATTGTTGAAGAAATTGTTTTGAAGAATCGATGGCATGATAATTGTAACCAAACCGTACCGTGAGACCAGTGTAGGTTCACACCTATAATATAAATAAATAAATAAATAAATATATATATATATATACTTACAATGGTATATCTGTGATACCATTGTGCATGTTTCAAATAACACAATAACTGTCTATAAAACCCTAAAATACCATTCTTATTCTCCTTTTCCTGTCTTTATTTATTAGATATCGTCTGACCACAAACTGGACTCGCGGAAACATCGGAAAAAAGAATGACAAGACCTATTAATTAACTCAAAATCTATCCACAAAAGACTCTCGGTCACAAATAGAGTGTAAAATACCTTGGGAATGTATTCGAGAGCTTTCCCTTGGTCCTAAACACTCATATCAGAGAATGTATCATGAATATTCTGTCTATTATCCTATGATTAAGGGACACTCTGATGAACTAAGACAGTGGTGCTCAACCCTGTTCCTGGAGATCTACCTTCCTGCAAAGTTCAGGTCCAACCCGGATCAAACACACATGAGCCAATTAATTAATACCTGAACAGCACTTGATAATTACAGGCATGTGCGTTTGATATGGGTTGCAACTAGAATCTATAGGAAGGTAGATCTCCAGGAACAGGGTTGGTCACCCCTGCAGTGAGAGAAAAAGCTATTATTTGCTTTATTTTTTCCTCCACCGCCATCAATAAGACTTGACGTTTCTGTCCAAAAATGGCCAGACGATTGTTCCAGGACTTCATCGCAGTGAGTTTGGCCTCAGGCGAAGCTTCAAGACACAAATGATCCACAAACTCCTGCGAACCGCTGCTGAAGACTGGCTATTGACATCTATTGCACACATTGGCATTCAGTGCAGTTGCATAGGCTAGTCTTTTTTCTTGTCCATTTCTGTGAAAGTGCTGGACGCTGAAGACCACTGGAACAGTCTACTTCAGTTATATTAGAAAAAAGGATTTTTTTATGTTTGGAAATAACGTGATCTGGGCAAGAAGATAGACTGTCCATGTTTGAACTGGAGGTGAAACACTTTTTCTGTCCAATGTTTTATTATTGTTCCTCTTTAGTTGCATCAACTGCAGTGCTTGAAATGCTCTGTTATCAGTTTTAGACTCAGTTGTTTAATTATTTCTTCATCTCAAAATCCAGGTCTTTACAGGCATTTACTTGGAGGATTTAGTAAATGATTTCTCATTGTAATCTGATTGTATTCACTAACAATAAACAGAGGAAAAAAATGGACTGTGTGAGTGTTTACTACTTGAAAAAATACTATAGTAATTTATAGTAAATACTGTTGTGTTTTGAACTATGCTATAGTAAAGTGTAGTATACCTTGCATATTATACTGTTTACATTCATTCATTCATTCATTATCTTTTTGGCTTAGTCTCTTTTATAAATTAGGTGTCGTCACAGCGGAATGAACCGCCAACTTATCCAGCATATTTTTTTACATTGGATGCCCTTCCAGCTGCAACCCAATATTGGGAAACCCGTACACTCTCATTCACGCTCACACACTTCGGCCAGTTTAGCTTATTCAATTCGCCTACAGCTCATGTGTTTGTAATTTCTGGGAAACCCACACCGACATGGGGAGAACATGCAAACTCCACACAGAAATGCCAACTAATTCAGTCCAGGCTCAAACCAGCGACTTTTTTGCTGTGAGGAGATCGTGCTACCCACTGACGCCTTAGTGCTGTATAGATTTACTGTATAGACTGTATAGTAAATCTATACAGTTCATATAGATTTTCTTATATTACTATAGATGTTGTTACCATAGTACATGTACAATTACCACAACAGATGAATTCAAATGCTTTACTATAGTATGGTTGAAAAAGAAGGTAAGATTTGATCTACTGCACTTCCATTGCTCGTATATTACTTTAATTTTGGGTGTTTTATACTGGAGAATACAATATTACTCTCCATTTTTTACCATAGTAAACTGTGGTGTATCATAGTATAATTTACCCTATGGTATATAGTAAAACTACTAGGTTTAAATAGGCTTGCTTATATTACTATAGTTGTTACCATAGTACATGTACAATAACCACAACAGATGAATTGAAATGCTTTACTATAGTATGGTTCAAAAACAAGGTAAGATCTGATCTACTGCACTTCCATTGCTCATATATTACTTTCAATGGGGATTTTTTTATACTGGAGAATACAATATTATTTTCCATATCTTACTGTAGTAAACTTTGGTGTATCATAGTATAATTTACCCTTTAGTATATAGTATAACTGCTGGCTCTATGTAGACTTGATTATACTACTATAGTTGTTGTTACTACATGTACAATTACCACAACAGATGAATACAAATGCTTTACTATAGAATGGCTCAAAAAGGTAAGCTCCGATCTACTGCTCTTCCATTGCTCATATATTACTTTAATTTTGGGTATTTAATACTGGAGAATGCAATATTAATCTCCATTTTGTACTATAGTAAACTGGTGTATTATAGTATAATTTCATAGTATATAGTAAAACTACTGGGTTTATTTAGATCTGCTTTACTATAGTAAGGCTCAAAATAAGGTAAGCTCTACTGCACAAATTGCTTGTATATTACTTTAAATTGGGATTTTTCATACTGGAGAACACAATATTACTCTCCATTTTTACTACAGTAAACTATGGTGTATCAGTATAAGTTTCCCTATAGTACAAAGTATAACTACTGGGTTAATATAGATTTCCTTATATTACTATGGTAGTTGTTACCATGTACAATTACCACAACAGATTAATTAAAATGCTTTACTATAGTGTGGCTCGAAACAAGGTAAGATCTGATCTACTGCACTTCGATTGCTCATATATTACTTTAATTAGGGATTTTTTATACTGGAGAATACAATATTATTTTCCATTCCTTTTTACTATAGTAAACTGTAGTATATTGTGGCATAATTTACCCCGTAGTACATAGTATACCTTCTTGGTTTATAGGTTTGCTTATATTACTATAGCTGTTGATGCTATAGCACATGTACAACTATACAACAGATTAATTCAAATGCTTTACTATAGTATGTTTTAAAAGGAAGGTACTATCAGATCTACTGCACTTCCATTGCTCGTATGTTACTTTGATTTAAAAAAAATTTTAATACAGGAGAATACAATATTATTCTCCATTTCTTCTACTATAGTAAACTGTGGTGTATTGCAGTATAACTGAGCCTATTGTAAAATCCAGTACACTAAAAAAAAAAATAATAATAATAATAAATCCCTTTTGGTGCTTGTTTTTTTGGAACAACTTAAATGTTTTAAGTTCAATCCACTTAAATTTATCAAAATTAAGCTAACCTTATTGATTTGGGTTGTGACAACATGAAGGAATTGTGTGAAGCCCTGCATTTTCCACAGTGTATATAATAAAACTACACTATTGCTTAATTTGTTTGTATTAATATAGTTATAATGACAACTGTAGTATTAACTGAGTACTTTACTATAGTATGGTTAAAAAAACACTACAGTGTTTACTATAGCCCATTTAAGGGATGTAAACAAAAACAATGGTCTTGACATTTTCCATAACTTCTGAGAGTCCAGAAATGTCTACATATGAGATATGCTTGAATCACCACTTGTTGTTTCAGATATGAAATAGTTTGACAACTTGCAGGACATGTTAATGGGCCAGTGATATCAACACACTAAAATGGTCTATAAATTACTGTAGTATCTTCTTTGATGTGTGTAATATTAAATCAAATATGTTATTGTTGTTCAAAAACACGCAGGGCTTCTCATTCCCCGTCCTGGAGGTCTGGCGTCCTGCAGATGTTAGCTCCAACTCCAATTAGACACACCTGGGCTTGCTAATCAAGCTCTTACTAGGCGTTCTAGAAACATCCTTGCGTTGACGCAAGTTGGAGCTAAAATCTGCAGGACACCGGACATCCAGAACCGAGTTTGAGAAGCAACTACAGTTGTCACTATATATGACTGTAGTACTTTATTTCGTGTGTCGTGGTCGTTTTATTTTTTCCAAAATGACGGTAAGTTTGTTTATCTTGTCGATTAAAACACAACACTGATTCCATACATGAGTCACTGAATGCATTATTAATCATATTTATAAAAAGACTTGTTTTAAAGAGTGCTGTGGTGAATAATTTAGGACCTGCAGTATCTTGGAACCCAGCGAGCGGTTGTTTAACACTAGAGGGCAGTAGCGCACTGTTTACGCACCATCATGTGACGTAAAATGTGACATTCCCAAACATTCCAGTGTGTCTACATGCAAGTTCATTATTCAGAGGTGGCATTAGTTTGTTGAGTTCACTAAAAATGTTCTAAATAATGATTCAATCAATATATTGCATGTGTAACTGCATGCGTAAAATGCAGTTGCATGCATTTAGATGCATTCGGAAATTTACAAATTGAACTGTATTGTGTTTAATATTCTGTTCGATTATTCTAGATTGAAATGCTGAAACCTCAAAACAGAAAAGAGCTTTCATTTAGCTTTTGATATTCTATATTATGTCCAAATAAAGCAATGCAGAATCCAAAACAAGTATGTTCACATTAAACATTGCCGCACTCCACGCGTGCTTTTTTTTGCGCACAAACAGTGGGTGTTCCCTTAATCATCTTGAGCAAACCTTCCTGTGCATTTCCCTTCTGAAACGAGAGCATGTTTCTTTTCAGACTGCGTGTGATGCACGGAAGAGGAAAGAGAGAGAGAGTGTGAGTGAGAGAGCAATCACATTCACAGGGAGGATTTTGGTGATGCGCTGTTCATTTCAGCACCACAAACCACCATCAGAGAGCAGAAAGAAGGTAAGATCTCATCTTCTGCACTCCTATTGCTCGTATGCTACTTTTATAGAACAATTTTTTATAATGCAGAATACAATATTAGTGCTTATTTATCTGTTTGCGCACGAAATATCATGCATATTTGAACTAAAGGAATTTTGCAGTGTCTATTTGTGACTTGACATCACTTTATTACTTAATATATAGTAGTTAAGCTTTTAATTAAACGTTTAGTTCAAGCGTTGGTGGTGTATGTAAAGCAATGAGCGAGAATGCAGATGCCGTGTTGATTAGACTCAGTGCATTGCATCAAAGGAATGCGCGTAAAAGCACACGCTTGCATGCATGCTGATTAATACAACATTGCCTATTAGCTCTACACAGTTCGGATTATGAATGAGAGCCGTCAACGCGTAATGTATATACTGTGCTTTTCCATGCCTTAATCACGAGTTGCATTGGCAGATTAGAAACTCTTAAATTGCATGCCGATGTTTCTTTCAACTATAGTTATAAAAAAAGAGCTCTGGATTCCCACCAGAGCGGTTCTCCTGTAGGAAATATAATGGGATCTCCAGTAGAGGATGGTTCTGCTTGACACATACTGATTCGTGTAAATTAAAAAGAGAAATGGGACACACTGCGTCTGCCAGGGTAATAACTCCATCTGTCTCCGAAATAGCGACAGAGGAGAGGGAAGACCCGAGCTCTCATATAGAGATTAATTCGTGCAAACGAGTCGGGGCAAATCTAATTAGGCGTATTCACGTAATCATTTACGCACATGCATTTCAACTCAAACTGGAGAAACATATGCGCACTTAAAGGTGAATGGAGCCGTATAAGGCAGAGCAGGACGTCATTTGGAATCAATACAGAGTCATTATAGCAGAATGGAGATATTGGAGCAGAATAGAGTGCGGTGAATGTTATCTTAATGGTAATATAAAGCTCACAGTAGGAGCCAGGGATACTGATGAGATCTGTCCTGCGTGATCGGTAGTGCCTGGGTTTGTGTGGGAATTTCAGTGGCATTTGTGGCTCACCAGGAGAGCAAAATCACATTCACAAGTGTGCGATGGACTTCCTTTATGTTGTGGAGTGATGCTCTTGGCGCATGGAGGCGGCAGATTGCGCAGCATGTGTCTTTCGGAAGCGCAAAGCAGTGCGTAAATGCGCTGGGTGCGCGTAATGAAACGACGGCTCTCCACTGTAAAGTGGACATGTGGAGGTGTTTCACGAGAGGAGCTCTCTGTCTGGGCTTTCTGACATGTTTCAGGTGCTTGGTGTGTGCCAAAAGCACTGAAAATTAGCTGCCTTCTTTTTAAAGGTTGCTGTGTTTTGGCTAAAAGGAAGGAAAAGCAGTTTTGATGTTGGGTATAGGAAGTTGGAGGATGTCAATGGAAGTGCAGATGAGATCTTACCTTCTTTTAAACCACCATATAGTAAAGTATTTGAATTATTTAGTTGTGGCTATTGTAAAAGTGCTATGGTAACAACAATAGTCACATAAACAAATCTGTATAAACCAATACTGTTTTACTGCATTCTATAGGGCAGGGGTGTCCAATCTTGGTCCTGGAGGGCTGGTGTCCTGGAGAGTTTATCTTCAACCCTAACCAAACACACCTGAACCATCTAATCAAGCTCTTACTAGGTATACTAGACACTTCCTGGTAGTTGTGTTGAAGCAATTTGGAGCTAAACTATGCAGGACAGCAGCCCTCCAGGACTGAGTTTGGACACTCCTACACTCTCAGAAACAAAGGTACGAGAGCTGTCACTGGGGTGGTACCTTTTCGAAAGGTACACATTTGTACTTGAAGGGTCCATATTGGTACCTCAAAAGTATATATTAGTACCTACAAATTTTAAGAGGAACACTTTTGTACTTTTTAGGTACCAACATGTACCCTCAAGGTATTAATATGGACTTTTTAGGTACAAATTTGTACCTTTTGAAAAGGTACCACCCCAATGACAATTCGCTTACCTTTATTTGTGAGAGTGTATAAATTATAAATTACTAATTATAATAATTATGACTAATTATAATAAAACACCAGTTTTTTATAGTATATAAAGTATACTATAGTGTTTAATACAGTTTATCAGTAAGAAAAGGCAGCTGTATTTACATATTAGAGTAGCAAGGAGTAGTGATTTAATGAATCTCCCCACCCCCAAATTTTCATCCTATATAACTTTAAGAACACGATTTATATTGTGTTTATGTTAAATGTGTAATATCTATAAACTTTAAAGGGATAATTCATCAAAAAATGACAATTATGTCATCATTTACTCACCTTTGACTTGTTCAATAACATTGTTTTGTTCTATTGAACAGCAGAAAAACTAGTACTATGGAAGTCTATGGTTATCAGTTTCCAACATTTTTTAAAATCTGCTTTTAGGTTTAAAAGAAAAGCTCAAACTTGTTTTGGAATAATTATATGATTACCGAATTTACAATTTACAATCTCTTTTAAGGCCTGGTTTCGCAGACAGGGTTAGGCCATAGTTCATTTCGTACATGTAAGGATTTTGATCATTGCTGGTGTACTTAAGACATGTAAATGTCTTTCAGTGGCTTTTCAATGTCTTTTCAGAATAGGCTTAATCCTTGTCTATATAATAATTATTGTCTCTTTGCATCTGCCCAAATTTCCATCTCTGTTCATCTTGGCCAAAAAAAAAAAAAAAAAAAAAAAAAAAAAAAAAAAAAAACGGGTGTAAAAAATATTTTTTCAATAACTCACCTTGATTACTCTCTGTTCCACTCCAGTCCACAAAGCCAAACTGTAAGAATCATCCTGAATGCTCCATTATATGCAAACAGTCAGATTTCCTCTCGCTGGGAAATATCTTTGGCTGGCTATGCAAATGTGAGGTGCATCTTTTTTCTTTTTTTTTGCATTCAATGAGGCAGAAATGAAAGACCACACAGAGCTCCAAATGACTGTGTGATGTAATTTCCTCCCTGTCAAGATGTCCGTGTGTTTGATGAGTTTGCTTTGTTGCTTGCATACATTGTGTCTGATTCATGTTTGATTTCTCTTTGTGCAGCCACTCATGCAATGTTTTCTTTTGCTTTAGATGCGTTTGAAGATGTGAGACGGTCGCAGCTCGGATGTTAAAAGGGACTTGTTTACTTCCTATCTAACACTTTTGAGAGTCTCCTTAAATCACCTGCTGCCGGTCACATGACGCACCACTGTGGCAACCTAAATGGCCGGGGTGCTTGGCTTCAGCTTTGAAACGGCCATGGATTTTCCTGTCCACCTACTTCCCCATTAGTCCCACCAATTGGAATCTGTATCCATTCGCTTCTTCAGATTTTCCCCAACAACTCTGTGGATATGGATCTTGTGTGCTTAAGCCGGACTCAATACCAGTTGCTTGTCTTTCTCTGCTACTGGTTTCCAGTCTCCCTCCAGAAGCTGGAGACGCCACCGATTGAGTATGCCCACTCTATCCGTCTGGATGGCGATATTATCCTGGGCGGCCTGTTTCCGGTTCATTCTCGGGGTGAGCGTGGGGTTCCTTGTGGAGAGTTAAAGAAGGAGAAAGGCATCCACCGATTAGAGGCAATGCTGTTTGCCATTGACCTCATCAATAAAGACCCAGATCTACTGCCCAATGTGACATTAGGTGCCCGAATTCTGGACACCTGCTCGCGGGACACTTACGCTCTGGAGCAGTCTCTTACCTTTGTGCAAGCTCTCATTGAGCGCGACGGTTCGGATGTACGCTGTGCCAATGGAGATCAGCCCATATTCGCCAAACCCGACAAAATTGTTGGCGTCATCGGTGCAGCTGCCAGCTCGGTCTCCATCATGGTCGCCAACATCTTGAGGCTTTTTAAGGTAGGCAGACTCAACTTATTCTTCTGGGAATTGGTAGAGCGGTGCATCTTCTAATTGTTGTCAGTGATTGATGTTGCATAGTGTTGTGGATAACAATCTCAGTTGAGAATCGAAAGTTGTGGGTTGAAGCCCTACCTCAAGATTGGCTCAAACTTGCCAGGGATCTAATTTTGACTTTCTAAGGTGTGGGAGGTGTAGGGAATCCTATAGCTGCTGTGGATGATGGTTACAGTGCAATATTGAGGTTAACAGTGCGAAAGGGTGTAGGCTGTAACCTAAAACGGATTGAGGCTCATATTTCCAGTCATCGATCTTCATTATTTTGATAAAAGTTGTAAAACTTGACGTAAGAAGGCCACAGAAAAGCCTTGCATTTACACAACCTGGAAATTACACAGCATCTCTACTTGTTGTAAATGACAGTTAATGTAGTAGTTGATCTGGGTTAGGCACTAAAAAGTTGTGAGCTGAAAATTAAATCCCTGTCATGTTGGTCAAGTTCAACAGAATTGTTGGGTCATGTTGGTCAACATTATGATGTTCGAGGTAAGCAAGATCACATAAAAGGTCTAACCTTGCATTTCTACCAGAAAGACTTTAGGAGGCAGATAAACGTATGAACATTTATTCTGAATTGTTTGCATGAATGTGAATTCGTTAAGGTCCTTTCATAAAGTTCTTTGGCGTAAAACCTCGTCTATAGTGCAGAACTCTGGATGAGCTGGCAGATCCTGCCTGAGGATGAAGGCAGAGCGAAGCCAACCCCCTGAGTGGAGACGAGGCCGACCTGGTGGTGGTGGTGATGGGGAGGATGGAGGGAAACTTCCGCTACGTCACCTGAATACAGCGAAACAGAATGTTTAGATGGGCTTATATACATGGCTTGCTTGGTTGTTATAGGCTGACGAGATAATTATTATAAATAACGTGACATCTCAGTCTTTCTGGTAGAACTATCGCTAAAGCTTTCATTTCTGGGGCCTGGGACTGGGGCAGCATCTGTAGCTGATGTGAATGATGATTAGAGTATGGATTATTTAGGTTAAAACAAAACCTACAGCTCAATCCATGTTATTTTTGACAAGTTGAACTAAATTTTGGAGACATCGTAGAAGATTTCTATCCATCCTGCTGGCCAAAATGATGATGATGCTCTTTGAGGTAAGAAAGGTCAAATAAAAAGTCTAAACTTTGCCAGATACCTGGAATGGGGCAGCATTTGTATCTGGTGTTAATGATGCTTAAAGCACAGTGTAGTAGATAACAATCTAAGATTGACACTTAAACATTGTGAACTAAATTCCTTCAAACGAATCCTTGTCATGTTTGCTAAGTTTGACACAATTGCTGGTGTTATAGCTGATTTAACTTCATGTTGGTTTATATAATGTCCAAACTTGCATTGGGAACCTGGGAATGGGGAAGTGTCTGTAGAATGACAAGTGTAAAGATTAACAGTCGGTGTTGGGAATGTTAAAGGTGTACAATGTAAGGCTGAAACCTGCTGTTGAATCCATGTTTTGTTTGCCAAGTTGGACAAAATTGTTAAAGTCATCATGGCAGATTGACATCCATCATGTTTGGCAACATAATCATGCTACTTGAGGTAAGAAAGATCACATATAAGATCAAACCTTTAATTTCTGGGGTCTAGGAATGGAGCGGTGTCTATAGCTGTTGCGAATGATGTTAAAATGTAGTGTAAAGGTTACAAATCTGGGCTGAGCTCTGAAATTATGAAGGCAAAATCATTCAGCTCATATTTGCCAGGTTCAACAAAATAATTAGGGTCATCAAGCTCAGTGGTTCTCAAAGTGGGGATTGGGATCCCCCTGAGGGAAAGAGGGGTCGCCAGGTGATTTCCAAAATATATTTATTTTTATTAAACCATAAGAATTACCATATTTTATCCTTAACCTACTGAAGAGAAAAAATCGTAGCTTATAGTTACTAGTTGTATTGGATTGCGACCCCTGGGGTAATTACATTATATTAAAGACACAGCAATAGCGTCAGATGCAGCAGATTGATTTTATAACACCAGGTTAAACTTTCTGGCCCATTTACAGCTCTCACATGCATTAAAAAAATTAAACCAAGAATAGACTTGGGTCTATTGGTGTGTGTGTGTGCCATTGCATGCAAGATGTCCGTAATTATAACCACTTTAGAGGATATTGGGGGTCACGAGTCACTGGCATTGTTATTTTGGGAGTCGTGGGCTGAAAAGTTTGGAAACCCCCGATCAAGCTGAATGTGTCCAAATCATGTTATGATGCTCTTTGAGGAAAGAAGGGTCACATAAAAGGTCAACCTTGGGTTTCTGGGGCCTGGGTTTGGAGAAGTGATTGTTAAATTGGGGTTTACTACAGAGTAACGCTTATCAATATGGGTTGGGCATTGAAAACATGTAGGCTGAACCCTTAATACCAGACCACATTTACCAAGTTTGTTTGGATCTTTATAACCAATGTGTCTCTGTTGTGTTTGCCAAAATCATGAAGCTCCCTAAGGTAAATATGGTCTCATAAGAAGTTCAACCTGTTTTCTGGTCTGGTTCGGCATCGATAGTTGTTGGAAATGCAAGTTATAATATAGAGTAGGAATTGGGAGCCAAAACGTTCTAGGTAAAAATAGCACAAGAAGCAATCCAATGCCATTGTATCCTTGAGCCGAGTGCTTAACCACAAGATCCAGAGGGACACTTAGTATGTGCAAGTTTGTTTTGATTAGTTTCTGCTTTCTCACTTTCAAGTCTTTTCCAGTATTTCTCTGAAGCACACAATGTCTTCTTAACCACGGCTGACCTCACATAACTCTAAGTACAGTTGTTTGAAATGTATTTTGACAGACTGAGTGCGCATGTAATCTTAAACGCATCTTAGGGCAGGATGTTTTTCGGGAAAAACGATGCTGCCCAAACTCTATTATAATTTAAATGTACGTCTTGTTACCCAGCAGGAAGATCACTATTTCTGGCCAGATTCGCCAGTGAAATGAACTCCGGCAGTTTGCTGTGCTTGTCTGGGGAAATTAAGACAACCAGGGGGCTTTTTCATTGTCATTATTTATGTATGCAAACAGCTAAAGTTCAGCAGTGACAACCTGTTACAATCGAGCGCTTCCGGTAAGAACATTACCTCTAGGAGCTGGAATGGGCGGTGTACAGTATATCCTGTGGGGAGTTATATACATGTCTGCATGCTGAAGTTCAAGCGGCCTCTTGACAACAATAGATTTTTTCACTCGGTCATGTTTAATAAGTGGTCTGAATAACACTTCTGGCCGACTGCTCATTGTAGTTGTCATAGGAACAACTCACGGTCATCCTGCGCCAATTAATGACACAATGTTAATGAAACTCTCTGCTGTTTATGCCACACTCATTAGCTGACCATGATTTGACTGATTGATGTAGACACGCCGCGCCGAAGCGACCCATCCGCGGTAAATGACGCATGTCCCATATTGCAAGCACAGATCTTTTTCTGTAACACAGTGTCAGCTGCCAGACTTTGCTATCGGGAAGCAATCATGCTAAACACGATTGGAAGAGACGTTGTCTTGGGTGTTGTGCATGTAGATTAGATGTGCATGGGATTGTGTGTGCACTTTCTTTTGTAAGAGAACATTGCCATTTGAAGACCTATGAAATGTTGTGAGATAGAAAAAAGGAGCACTTGACTGAACGTCATTGAATGTGACATGGATGAGTGAGAGTAGTCCCATACATCAACAATACCTCATAAATATTCACAAGGCTCTATAGCCTTATCCGTTTGGCGTTTTTCAGAAGCATTGGCTGCAATTCCAGCATTATAGATGTGACATTTGCTGTAAAAAACAGTATATGTTAACATTATATTGGAACATCTCTTTATATTTTCCAAAACAACTAACCACAGAGTTGTGCAACCCAGGCTTATTCTGATTATGTACCCCTATATACCTTTCTGGAGAGAGCAAAATACGTCCCAGGAGCTACGTTATTTAGCAGTTTTTGTTTTCGCAAATCCACAAGAGGCTGCTGGAGATCTCAGATTTCTTTTGCAAGTGCCATTCGTGCCTGCTGTTCTCACATAAATCCATCAGAAGCCGTCGTTGATTGACTGACAGAATGACCAAACGACTGACCCACTCTCCCCCTTCCCTGAACCCAACCGATATTGTTTACAAAAGCACCGATTGACCAGCGCCCACCAACTTCCCTAAACCAAACTGACAGTGTTTTTAAAAGCAATCCCGAAAAAGAAAAGCCCCCTGATTTTTTTTTTCCAGATTTTACCACATTCTCACCCTGTTATTTACTTGTTTATTCTATTTTTTAAGCTTTAGTTTTTCGTGCTTTCTGGAACCGTTCTTCACCGGACTTGAACCCTATTGTCGTGGTCAAATCCACTCTGCATCTCAAGTCCGCAGTCATGCATGTCGGGCTAACAACGGAAAAGCTGTCCAGATGGAGGTAATCGGTCAGCTGGTACGCGAGAAAAGGAATGGCATCATACTGCTTCGTTGCATTTGTTTTAAGCTGCGGTCACACTAGAGTTTGAGCGTGCGAAATTCTGTCGTACATTGCTGCGAAAAAAGGCGGGAAAAAACAAGATGATTAGACATTTAAAAAAGTAAGCGATTAGTCCATTTTTTTAATTTCTGTCCAGAGAGGTCATGTTTTGATCTTCGATTTGTCTCACGCAATCATGTAATGCGATTTCGCAGGTCAGAGTTCACCAACGCAGCGAACTGAGAAGCTTTTCTCGTGAGTTTGCGTTTCCGGTCTAACGCATTTGCGTGCATATGAATGAAAGTCTATGGGGAGAAACATGCAGTGTGATCACAGCTATAAAGATGAAATGCAGCCATACATAGCTCTGGCTATATAATTATCCAGAAATGTACATAGGGCTACATTTTCAGAATAAACCTATGTTGAAGTTGTGTGATCGGAAAAATATCAATCTGATATTTTATATTTTAAATGAGGAAAATAAACATGCGTTGTG